CCGAAGTTACCCGAACCATCCCTCCCCGTTCCGATGAATTTTTTATGTTAAAGTATTACAGGTTTTACCACTACCGGTTTTCCTTAGCCGAATTTATATGTGTTTGTACCTTCGGAATAACATGAATATTTTAAACGATATCGAAGAGAGCAGAGTGACAAAAAATGTCGTTATTATTCCCATGAAAAAAATTTTGGCAAAAAATAATTATGGCACGATAGATATGCAGTAAATACGCAAGAGATTTTCAAAACTGTTTATATCAAATGACTGGCTGCGCGATATAAATAATTTTATTAAATAATATGCTATTGATACGTCTACAAAAATGTTTGATAACAGATGCGTGCGAAAAAATATTTACACGTAACAGTAACGGAAATATAAGCGAATAATTCGAGAGAAAAACAAATTTTTCTTCTTCGTTCTGTGAGAAATAAATTCTCAATAAAATAATATGTTATTTGTGTACACAAATATTTAATAAAAATTGCGAATTTTTCTTTTATCTATAATTTAAAGTAACATAGTTTTAGGGAATTGCATTTGATCGTAAGATCCATCGTAAATGTCGAAAATTGTAAACTCTAAACAGATAATTACCGGCGGTTTAGTCTGAAACTGTTGTCATTAATCTAAGTAATACCTCGTTTCACATGCATCTGCCGGCATTCGCGGTTCGTGCTGCGATCCGTGGCATGCGAAACAGGCGAAACAGCGAGCAATCAACAGAGACAAGTCCGAAGGATTCTTTTGCATTTTTCAAGTTAGTCAAGACCGCCGAATTTAAGCAATATAAAGAGATAAAGATTTATTTGAGATATGGCGTAGAGGTTACTATGATCACGATCCGGTCCTTCAGAGTTTGAAGTGGTCCTTGGAGGGTTTTCCATTGCACTTCGATGGTTGACCCTTATAGCTGATCTTTGATATCTTGTTCAAGTCTTTTTAAAAGTTTAGGTATAAAATCTTAAATGCGAGAAACTCTTGCGGACGTTGCGCGACGTAGCGTTAAGTAAGTATTTAAACTAGTATCTGCACAGTTTCGGAGAAATACCGTTCTATAGAAGAGGGCCCATGAATGGTAGGGGAGTCTCGCAAAGGCTTTTAGAAAACTGACAAAAGGATTATTCGGGAATACTAAAAATAGTTAAAATCATACAAATATATTATGAAAATATTATACTTGTATAAAAAATACGTATGTATATACTTGTATAAAAAATACGTATGTATATACTTGTATAAAAAATACGTATGTATATATAAAACCGTTTTTTTTTTTTCAATGTTTTCTCGGATTTTTTCAGTTTTTTTCCCAAGAGGTAGAAAAATTCAGTGAAAAATTTCATGTATATATTAAAAAAACCTATCACATTTCATATTTGCAACATTTTGATACACTTTTCAAAACTTTAAAATTTTATAACAACAACATATATTTATTGCTGATAATGTTAAATATACAAAAGAAAAGCTAATTACACAAGAATAAAAAAACAGAATTAATAACAGAATTATGTATTTTTCAAATAAAACGTATGGCTCTTGACAAAATATTAAAAATTAGGTAGTATCATTATACGTAGGTAGTATCGTTTACATAACAATTTTTCGTAAAAAACCAATTTTCGAAAAAAAAAAACCGAAATTTTTTTGGTTTTTTTCCAGCAATTTGAAAAAAGCAATTTTTTTTAACATAATGTAATGAGCTTCCACCCTATAAAACAGCATCTCTCTGAAACTATGCAGATACAGTTCAAATACTTAACGTTACGTGGCGAAATGTCTACAAGCTGTACAGATACTGTACAGTTCAAATATTTAACGCTACGTAGTGTAATACTTCAAGTCTTTCTCATATTCAAAATTTTTTACTTTAACTTGTAAAAAGACTCGAATAAGAGTCGAAAAGAAAATCTTAACTTTACATTTCGGCGTAGAGGTTGCTGTGATCACGAAGACGGTCCTCCAGGGCGAGGCCTCTTCCACCTTCGATTCAGGCCGAGCCTTGCGAGTATAACTCGGACGCATAATTTTTGGTAATCGGGACTAGTTCGCACTTTCCCGAATAATACACTTGCAAAAATATTATACCGGAAAATATTATATCGAAACTTAAACCTATCTATAAGTCGATAAGATTTTACCTGACACAATCTTACTCTTAATGATAGGACATAAGAAAAATCTTTTACATTACTTAGTATTTACCCTGTACATTGATTTGTAATTATAATTTAATTCCCTAGTTTTGCAATATATATTTTTATCTACATTTTTTTAATGTACGTTATTTTCTTTCTCGTTTTCAGCATATAGCACTTTTAGTAACATTCTCTATTTTCTTATAATGAAATGAATTCAGTTTAAAATGTAAAACAAATTTTTTAAGTGTATAAAATTTTTATAATATTCAACTCATTCAGAAACGGAATTTACCTATTTTTTTTATGTTATTGTGTAAGATTAATATCATAAAGATAAAACTTAGCGAGAAATATAATTTTATCATCCATATTGTTTTCAATCGTTTTAAAGAATAAAAGAGTCTTGAATATAATTAAATAATCGCAGGATAAAGTAAGATATATCGTAAATTTGTAAAATTCGCATTCCATTGCACGTCTGAACAACTATGCTGTTAGGGAATATTATTTCTGGTCACGCCACGACATACCTATGCGGTCGTTTGGTGCAACGGAACTGCATTTGGAAGTATTCCACACGCGAAACGACGATGGCGGCATTAATGATTGCAATTCCATACGTCAAGCATCGTACCTGGATAAACTGCGCTAGCAAAGTGATAGGTGTATATATGTATAATATATATGCATTACGATCAATAGACGAAAGTTAATTAATTTTTATCTACATTTTCACGAATAATCTTATTAAATTTTGATGAAGTATTTTAGCTGCAATTCAGTATTGGTACATTTTATTCATTACATAATTATTGATACGTTTTTAATTGATCCCAAAATAAATTTCATATACGCTAGATCTATGTAACAAATGCACTTAAAATAGCTTTTCTCATATCTATACATGTACGAAATCTATACATTAGCTGTATAATTTATTGGCGACGACATCTGGTAAAAAGATACTAGCGGGTCAGCTTACATGCAAATTTTCGAAACAAATTTATCCATTGTTAAAATAATCCCGAGGAGAGGCACGGAGCAGAGCCATAGAGAATTGATATATATTTCACGAGTGAGCGATTGTTGAAACAAAGTTATATCATGCCAGAGGGAGTGTCCAGAACATTCTCGAATAGCTGTAGCCTGTTAACGGAGTGCTACTGCGCGCGCATTTGCATAATATTTTTTATTGCTCTGGCAATGCAAATTGTAATTTTCAGTTGCGTGCGTTTGTTTCCTCGTGGCACTCCGAGTGTCAAGTGCATTAACGCGATCCTGTTAAGCCGATCAATTCGACGAGCAGTAGGTACTAGTCGTCGAGAGTTCTTGAAAAATTTTCGCTACGCAAATATCAATGGAGGGTTAAAACGTTAACGGGAGCTTTTAAGCCGGCACGTTAATTCGATGCGAGCGCGCGCGAATTAACGACGAGGGGGGAGGGGAGAAAGATACACTGACTTTCTTATTCTCTGTTTAACGCATTACTCAAGCTGAGGATTAAGCAAGCCGGGCGATATGAACATGGAGATTATGCGCGATTTATGAGCATGCGGCTTACGGCGATTAAGCGAGCATGCTTGTTGAGTAACTGTGCCCGATATAATCTGAGACCGTGGCTATGCAAACACGTAAATGTTTATCCATAGTAAAAAAAAAATGGTTAACGTAGTTAAGAAAATGGCTGTTATATGGAATAACAATGAGGTACTTGTTTGTATTGCATTTGAGATTATATTTGAAATTGGATGGGATAATATGTTCTCGAGGAGCGCATATCCACAAATTGTCTTAAAATTCTGTAACAAGCTCCACGATGTGTATCTGGGAGAAAATCTTTTTATCTCTTTTTTTACATAGATTATATAATACAAGCTCGAAAGCATAAATATGTATAGAAATTATCGATAAAAAAAAAGACGGAAAAAGAGAAGAAAGGAAACGATTTACTTAATATGTTAATTAACTGGAGAAAATGAAAATTGCAAGCGAAGGATTGATCATCGACGCAGACGAAAATTTTCGGCGACTAATCCGATCCGAGCCCTTGATCTAAGCCTCGATCCAAGCCAGGTCGAACCGACTCTGAAAGGTGACGTGGCGCGTTTGTGAGCGTGACAGACGTCGCGCTTTGTATGTGCGTGCGAAGGGCGCGATAGATACGGGCGTCGAACGACAGATATGGCACGGCGACGCGAGGGACGAGAAGGCAAGCACACATAACAGGCAGAGCCGTTGATAGCGACAGCACTGTTTGCGCGCCGGTAAAAGCGGCGCAGAATCGCGAAGAAGGCGATAGCGAACCTGGCGCCCGCTCGATGGGTTTTAATTAATACCGCTCACTCGTTCTTTTTCTCTCTCTTTCTCTCTGTTCTTCAACCCCGGTCGAGAGGCACAGCTGCACGGCGTGTATAAGAAACGAGAATATACATTCCATTCCATTATAATGATAAAAAGTGTCCTCATCGTCCGCAAATGTTTTATATAGTTTTGAGTAATTATTTCCTAAAATTTGGAATTGTTCGAATGAATGGTCAGTGTATAAAAATGTACGAATATACGAATAAGTTACCATTTTTTAATTTTAAAAATAGAACTGTTTCTCCGGATTACATTCTTTTTCTTCCATTTAGTAATTTAGTTGAATTGCCTCTCGTCTAGCGCGTGCTATTGTTTGTCAGGCACTTCGTGACAGAGTTTTGTTCTTCTTTCTAACTTGATGGAGGCCAATTGGGAGCGGTTTTGTAAAGATTTTGAAAAGGTTTCCAACATTATTCAACTTAGCTCCATGTAAAATTTTCTTAGCCAGTTTGGGAGTTTAAAGAAGTTTATTTAATTGATCAATATTACCTTTTGTGCATTCTTGCGCCGGATTTCATTAAATAGATTGGATACGTTTTCGTGATGCTTTAACAAATGTATCTTTTTCTAAAAAGAAAACGAAAAGAAAATGCATTTTAGTAATTTTCTAAGAGTCTGCTTATACGAATTTTATCGTAGTGAGTTATTCTTTTTATAATCCTTTATAAAATTATTGAAAATTGCGTTTATATTATTTTTCACTAAAACAATTACGCTAAACTTTCTAACTCTGCAAGTCTAACTAATTTTAAATATCTGCATTTTTTATAATTAATACACGGAGATAATTTCCTTTTAAAATTTACCCTGAAAATTATGTTAATCGTGGACAACATAGTATTTCGACAAATTTTATGTGATTTTCTGTTTTTTTTTCTGCGTGCACTACAACATAAATTTGTTATAGTATATATTTAAGAAAATAGTGAAAATCGCATCAAATTCATTAAGATACTGTGTTGTCTCACGATTAACATGATTTTTCAGGGTAAATTTTAAAATAAAATTCTCTCCGTGTAGATATTAACGTATAAATTAATTTCTATATTCTTATTATTTTGAATGTTAAAAGAAAAAATGTATAATTATACGATTATGACTATTCTTTAAAACTGTTAAGAACATCAATTAAATATATTTATGTTATTATTGACGTTTTCGCGAGTATAGTCATATTTTAAAAAATATATGTGTGTTTATAAAAAAACGAAAAATATACGATATTGATTATATTAAAATAAAACCTTTAAAGAACAGTCCCATTGTTTTATATCCGCTATGAAAAGCTGATAAAAGTTAAAATATTGAAAATTGAAGAAATAGAATTAATTTTTGACTTTGACATATCTTTGATGTCTCTCGTTCAGTGATAAAGCATGTCATCGATCGGACTAGCAGTCTGTCTCATTCGTCAAAATCAGACGACAAGAGATTTCTTCGTATATGACGTACAACAATTCAAACATCGACATTTCTTGCAATATTAAATCTTCTCGATGCGGAAGAATGCATTTATTGGAATTGACTTTAGCTAATTTTAGCGAGGTGTCGACCGAATTTTACTCTATTCTTTTATTCGATATTCACAGCCATTCTTTGCTTGACTGAGAAACAGTAGCAGAATTCCAAACGCGCCATTAAATATGAATGGAAATTTTTAGATTTTCGAACACCTGCTCGGAATTTTCGAAATCCAATCTCGTTGTGCTCAAAGCACGAAAGGTAATCGGAAAAATAACACAAAATATATTCTTAAAACATCCGCGAAACGAAACTAAATAGCGTTTCTTGTAATTGCATGAACTTTTCTGCTCTGTATGTGCTTTGCTTTCCTTTCTTTCCTGATAAATAACATAGTATTTTCGGATAAGTCTTCATGAATTTTGCAAAGCGTAAATTGCAATTGCTTACTTGGCTGCTGTCAATCTTCAGCGAAATTCACCGGAATTTAATTACGCGTAATATCAAGGAAAGTCTTTGTAGCGTATACATATTGAAACGCGCGAGTAATTACACTTGTCTCCAACGCCATTCTCATCGCTCTCGTTATCGTTTGAATCAAGAAGAATTTCAAACACGATCGCTTAATGAAACGCGTAGAAATGAAATACGTCGGCCAGGTACTGTTTTCTGCGAGAGAAATTAGAAGGCAATCCTTAAATATTTATACTACTAAATTAACGTTCGCTACGATATCCTCCATAAAGAGGTTAAAAACGGATGTTAATTGAGTCGATATATTTTACGTCGTGACAGGTATATGTATTTAAATAGGCACATTTGCTAAACGACATTAATGACCATGACACAAATATCGTTTTTGTGTTTTTTTTTAATCTTTTGTATCGCTCTTATGTTTTATACGTTTTACGAGCAATTGCGAACACGGTCTCTCATAGACGCCAAATGTTACCTGCAACTGCCACCGTTTTTATACGGACGCGCTTGCCAGATTTTCTATCTCTTGCGCAATGTTATTCGCGGGAAATATGTGGTATTTAATTTCTTGAGGTTCAATAATTTATAGTATTTACTGATTCAAACGCTATTGCAAGACATTTAATAGCGACACGTGGACGTTTCGATCGATTACCAGACACTAAGTCGTCTCGGTCGTCTCTAATGATGAAATGTGCTCCGACTATGCGATAATGCAAGAAAAATTGACCTCGTAGCAAAATGAAAATGATACGAGATTAAAAGAGCGATATATACTCGTAAGTTAATTTTTCTGAACGTGACTCTACAGCAGATGAATATGCCGTAGGAAAGTTATGAGACTGTATTCTTATTTTCAATAATTTACGATAATATGATACTTAAAAAGTATAATTTATCTTCAAATGTGATAAATGGAAACAAAAAATCGCGTTTGACATATTTTCAAAATTAAATCTAAAGTATACTTTTTTTATTTCAATATATCGTATATAAAATTTGTATGAAAAACCTATAACCCCTGTAATAGTTGTCTTTTAGTAATTGCTTATAGTAATAGTTGAACTTTGTCGAATCAAAGGATAAGTTCCAGTGCCAAAACGTGTGCACAATTTAACGCGTTGCAGGCACGTTTGAAGAGCAGAGGAAACCACAGAGAACCTCGGCCTGACCAATGGCGCCATTGGTAGCCTTGCAGAAATTGGCACGGCCAATGTCCTTAGCAATTCTACTGAAATCGATTTGACCAATACCGCAGTGGTGCTATTGGCGAAACTGTTGCAGGACGATTCGGTTTGATGAGCTGCTTCTACGAATGCCTTACATAGCGATCCACCGTTACTTCCGTACCTCGCTTAATCAGACCCTACTAATTTCATTAGCCTCCACATCGCTTAGTTTCTCATCCTCCGGGAAACATTTCCCCATGTATAATACTGACATGCGGCATCGCACGGTAAAGACTTTCGGCGTCCTTACACGATGTCTTCGAAGACTAAATAAGGGGTAGGGGGAAGGGAGCCGGGCTCGTTGATGCAAATTAATGATAGTGATTGTCGAGAGTGGAAGACAAAGTGCTACGGCATAGAAGGAATAATTAGGTAGATGACATATTTCTCGAGACTACAGTAGGAGAGAGAGAGAGAAAGAGAGAGAGAGAGAGAGAGAGAGAGAGAGAGAGAGAGAGAGAGAGAGATGTTTAAGCGTAATTATGTTGAAACTATAGAATCGAAACAATGCTATACTTTATTTAATAAATTAATTTTATATTTTGTTTATTTATTTATATATTTATTCATACATTTAACAAATTAATTTTATACTTTACTTATTTCATTCATATATTTATTTTTTACGGATTTAGTAAGTTATAAAAATTATACTTAATTACACAGAATTTTTAAGATTAATTGTTAAATTGCAAACAATATAATTTCAATTTAAGTGCTTATTTAGATCTGCTTTAGAGTAATTATAAATTATGCGCGGATACTTAATAGAATCTGTAACAGAAGAGTCAGTGATAATAGCTGCGCCATTACCTCAATTTGTTTTTCTTCCCGAAGTATATATTGTTTCACAACACGAACGAAACCGAGTAGCTCGCCAATTATATGGAGATAAAATAAAGCAGCCTACCAGCATAGAACCTGAGTAATCGCCATGAAAAAAAAGAGCACAATGACATCGCTTTTAAAATATCAACGCGATGACGAAAGATCGTTAAATGAAAGATACACGATATGAATGCGGAACCGCGTCAAACGTTCTGACGTATTGATCGATTCCGAACATTCCCTCATGATTCATTCAATAAATTTCAAATAAGAAAGAAGACGCACAAGAGATATCCAAGTCTAAATATCTAAAGCTGTATAAAATTAATGACTTTTATTTTAATATATGACTTTCATGACCCTATTAGAATTAATTTTTCTTCAGTTAAAACTCCGGTATTTTTAGAATTATAAAGTGGAATTAAACTTTTCGAAAGTTAATTTAAAGTTAAGTTTGGCTAACTAAATGAACTAGATCTCGATCGTTCGCTTCAATATTGAATATATGAATATTTTTTTTGAAACTTGTTTAAAAATTCAGTTATCCCAAGATTTAACTTAGAAATAAGTTTGTCCTTTCTTAAATACCGGAAATGTGAGATTTTATATATTCTCATAAATAACTCTAAAAAGATTAATATAAAAAATGATGAAAAATTACATGGTGCAACGGATAAATAAATAGTTTTCACGTAGATTACTATAAAATCCATGATCTAATCTGTCGTTATCTGATGAATCCGGAGATTGCTATAGCTTATCACAGAATTAACTTCTTAAAAAGGTTATAAGAATTACAAGGATTAGACAAGAACTTCATCATTTCATAAGATGAAATATCCTTTTTCTCCCTTTTTCTCCCTTTCTCTTTTCTTTCTCTTTCAATTATTGTACTTATTGATACCATTTTTGAAAATAAAGAACAAAGCACGTTCTTAATAATAAAAATTTGTGCCTAATAGCACACAAATTGTAGTTAATAGCAATCAACTGCGCGTTATAGCGGATTATCACGTATATTCGCAAAGAAGGTTACCATTTTCTCGATAACCCATCTCGCTCTCGCTTCTTCATTGCTTGACAAAGTAGCGAACGAATTTCGCCCCGACTTCTCGATTTATATCCCGCGATAATTACTTTTGCGCTTCCTTAATGAGGCAACGCTTACTGTACAGAGCATCCCCTACCTTTCTTCGCAATTTCAGGCATGTTTCTACCAAAAGTGAAACTGTCTTGAGATTTAATTATCAAGAATACTCATTTGAAAAGTTAGATCGCAGAAAATATCGTCCAATAAGATGTTTGCCATGGAGAAATAGTTTCTTAAAACATTTTCTTAAAATTCAACGAAGAAATTATCGCGTTATTACGATAATGTCAATCTTATGGCATATATCCTGTATAAAGTGCAGTTTTTATACAGTGACGTAGTATAACACGCAAGTAGCTTCCGATAGTAACTGAGTCAAGAAAGAACGTACGCCAAGAAAGAAAATTGGGTTCTTCAGCATCGTGAGACTAACGATGTACGATTTATCGCGCCATATCAAACTATATATCACCGGGGCAATA